CTCGGCCTTGGTCCCCCCCCCCGGCTCCGAAACTGCAGCTCTCCCTCCACAGTGTGTTTTCGTGGCTATCTGAACCTGCTGAGCCGCTCCAGCCAGCTCGTCCCCGTGTCTTATTTGCCATCGTACATGGTCTTTGCGAATTGTATCATATTGTACATGACTTCGGGTTTCCAGAGTTGTAGTGTTCTGACTACAGTATTTCCATGTGTGTACATAAACCTGAATAAGCACAACTGAACTCCTGAATGAAGTGTATACGTTTCATAAACTGATTGTCATATGAATGAATTTTATAATTATTCCAATTTTGTTGTAGATTTCCAATCTTTCCTATTTATTTTGTACCAGATTTATTTGTATATTTTGTGATTTTGTTTAAAAGCATTTTGTTTATTTCTATTCTTTTTAGATAAATGATGATTTTTTTTTTCTGTTGAACATTCCAGTTTATGCATTTTTCCCTCCTCCATGCTCCCTCCTCATTTCCAAGGGACGGATTTTGGCATGCGGGTGGTGGGGCTGATGTCGGTGATCCTGGACCCAGATCTCTGCTATTGGCACATCAGCCATCTTTAATCTCCTCTTCAGCTGTCAAGAGCCACGGAGAGGCCGGATCCTATTCTCCTTAGAGCCAGGTCTTGCTCTTCGCTTTGGTGGGTCTGGGCCCATAAGTCCTCGAGCCAGGGAGGGCTCTGCCAGTGGTTTTGCTGACCAGAAGTTGGGAAGCTGGTGGCAACAGCAAGCTTTCTGACTTTTGCTTTCTGAAGTTCCCTCAAGGGTCAGGGTCTTTTTCTTCCACTAATAAAATCCCCTTATTTACAACTTGCTCTCCATAGATCATGTTTGTTTTTCTGGAAGCATAGATGCCATCTATCTGTCAGTCTGGAGAGTGTGTTCCTGCCAGGTGGTGTGTGACTGGGGGGTCACCAGCGAGGGACGTGGCTGATGGTGATGGCGGCTCTGTTGGACAGGAGTCAATAGAGGAGTGAGTCTGTCTGTCCCCTTGCATTGTTAGGTCCCGCTGCCTGCTCCCCTGGTGTTGGGACTTTGGCAGCAGAGTTGTGCGGAGTCTGCAGTGACAGAGACTTATTTCTGAGCAGGAGAGTGAGTCTGTGCTTAGTCCCCTGCCCAGCATCATGTCCAGCTCCATGCCGGCGGAGGAATGGCCGACCCTTTCCTGCTTGCCAGATACAGCCCTGCCACGTGCCCGTTTCATCCTCCTTGCAGCCATTTCGCCCAGCTGCTGTCCCTGCATGGGCCTTTCTGCCTTGCTCAGCTCTTGAGCTGTGAAACGCTGGGTTAGCGTGTTGGGCAACGTCTGCTGAAGCCTTGTTGGGGGTTCTGCTGCACACAGGAGCAAAACAGGAGCTGCACACCCGTTCCTGTGCCACAGGGTGGCCCCACCTCCCTGGACCTCGCTCCCCAACATGGTATCGGCAGGACCTGGGCAGAGTGGCAGGGCCTGTGAGGACGTCTGCTCCTCTGCGTGTGCCTGTCCCTGGCAGCGGGTGGAGGATGGCGGGATGCTGCAAGCAGGATGTAAGTAGAATTAATGCAAAGGCAGATTTGGGGGATGGCTCTGATGGTGAAGAGGAGCAGGGCAGGAGAGTCAGGTCCCTGCGGGGTGGCGGGACGGGCGTGGGCTGTCCCCGTCCAGGCTGCACTGTGCGGTGCCTGAAGCGAAGGCGGCTGCACCTCCGCTCTGCGTCCTCGCAGCACCCAGGCTGCGCTCTGCGCTCCCGCTGCAGCAGCAGGGATGGGACCCCAGCGCTGAAGGCCAGTTCTCACATACTGTGTGAGTCATGCTGAAGGTCACCTTTTGTACCTACAGGTTGTTAAGTCCTGGTAGACCAGTCACCCTCCCCCCGCCAACCATGCTGCTGCTGCACAGCTCTGTCTGTGTGCCTGGTCAGCCCTGCGCCTCCCTGCACGCTCCGCGGGCCCCAGGGCCGTTCTGCTGGAGGTGAGCACCTTCGTGCAGGGCCCGGGGAGAGGGGCGGTGGCTCTACGCCCACAAAATTGCCTTGGCAATGTACGCTGCAGGGGGCTGGCCTTCAGGTGCCAAGGTAGCAATAGCTGCGGCTCAGGGAACAGCACAGTTCACGTCCTCCATGGTGGGCAGGGACACCCTCACACTGGGCCTGCGCTCCACTGAGAGAAGGTGGCGCAAAGGAAGAGGTGCTGGGAGCAGCTCCAGCTACCCTGACCTGGCCAGAAGTACTCGCTGGCAGTGCCCAAACCAAAAATGCCTGCAGGGCTGTGGCTAAGGTCAACCCTGTGACTAAGGGCTCCTGTCCCTGGTAGAGTTTGCACTGACCCCGCTCCGTCTCTGTGGAGCAGCGCGGGTGGGCGTCTAGTGTTGCAGAAAATAGGAGAAATCAGGTCTGTGAGCACTCAGGGCAGGGGTGAGGCCTGTCCCCGGGGCTCGCATTGCTCCTGCCGGGGTTTTGCCGCAGGAGAGCCTGACACTGGTGGGCAGCAGCATGGCCGTCCCTTGGGACAGGGCCCAGGCTGCGGGGAGAGCAGCGGGAGCATCGCAGCAGCTGTGGCTCCCGCTGGCTTTTCCTGGGGGCTCTGCAGTGGCAGTTGGACACAGGTACTGCCAGGCCTGGAGCAGCAGCTGGTGCGGGCCAGAGGTGCAGGCAGCTGCCTGCCAGCAGTGTGGGCTGCGAAATGGGGCTGTGGCCATGTTCCCTGTGGCAGCCGGGGCATACGGCTTCACCTTGGCTCTTGCTTGGTGGTTTCTTACTGCACCACCATCGTGCAGCCAGCGCAGGATGGGCAGAGGGGCACCAGGCTGGGCAGTGAGCAGTGCCTGTGTGTCCCTCAGGCTCTGTCCGCCCCTTTCCCACCATCAAGTGAGGGTCAAATACTTTCCATTGCTCCAGCCTTGAAGAGTCTTCTCCCTATCGAAGTCAGAAATAGCCCTG